AAATCAAACAGTCGATGTCAATGACCTCAAGTGTGTCATTTATGAAGGCGTTAAACAGAAGTGGACCCAGCGTGCTTCGTTGTGGAACACCCGAGGTAGCTGCATATTCCACGGACTTGAAGCCATTGAATATAACATACTGACGCCTGTCAGTGAAGTATAATATGAAAAGTTGAATCAGGGTCAGTGAAAAGCTGTACCTGTACAATTTCGATAGCAGTAATCCGTGATCAAGTCTGTCGAACGCCTTAGAGAAGTCCGTATATATGACATCAGTTTGGAATCTCCTATCAATGGTTTCAGAAATATATTGGATAACATTGAAAAGGTTGTTGATTGTCGAGCGATCTTTCATAAATTCATATTGAAAAGGAGTTATTTGATTGCTCGAATGAGGATATAACCTGCTATAGATAAGTATTTCAAACACTTTGGCGAAGTTGCATATTATTGATATGAGTCTATAATTACCGACATCAAACTTGTTCCCTTTTTATGAATTGGCCGAACTTTAGATCATTTCCATAGATCTGGGACGGTACTAGTTTTGATTCAGATATTTATTAATATCGAGCTAGCACATATGCACAATCTCTGACAGTCAGTGCAGGGATACTGTTGGGACCTGTTGTCATTTTCGGTTTTATCTGTTTCAAAGCAGTAATGAATATTCTAGACTTGTGAATATGGATGTCATCGCTCAATTCGGTTGAAGAGCTGGTGATATATGATTTCGAGAAAAAATCAGCAAAGCTATTTTTGTTATGTATATGTGCCCAAAATGTATTTGAATTGTCTTTGATGTCATGTTCAGCGAATTTTTTGTACGCGTTGTCCACGTCCGACTTTATCTTTGCCCTCAAAATAAAAACAAACAAGAAAAGAACAGAAAAACTAATTTTCTTGAAATTTTTAATGAGAAATTTGGCACTATTTTTTCGATACCAGCTGATCAATAACAGCCGGAATTGAAGAGGTAGCTACACGTACACAGCTTTCTAATCGTTGGTTGGTCTAATCATAGTTGAAAATAGTTGTTCGCAAACATACGTACTTCCTAACAGAGACATCATCTGCTTTGCATTTTTCGTCAAATGCGGAAATTTTTCAGGGCACACGTAAGATTTCTGAAAGTTTTCGATGTTTACTGAAAATCGGTATTATTCTCCATGTCAATCACTTCAATTTGGAAGTATTCGACGAAACTGTATTTACATCGATATTAAATGTTGAGGAAAGCATTTTCATTGACACAGCTGTCTTCTCCACGTTCCACATTAAGATGCTGAGTCATGTCGATAAGAAATTCAAAATCGCACATCAATTCTTTATTGCTAAAATTAGGAAGGGCATATCCCTCAATATTCAAGAAGAATTGTATTTTGCTTTCTGAGTTGTATACTCTTTCCAGCATTGCACCTCTACCAAGCCAACGTACATCGGTATTAAAAATCATATCGCCATACTCAGTTCATAAATCTTTCAGAAATTCTTTGAATTAACGGCCCGCGGGCCACGTGTTGCTCATCCCTGAATTATACTTATTAGGGAAAGAACAAAAGACTACATTAAATTATCGTTCAGGTATTAATTCCGACTGTAGTAACACTTCCCAATAAGCAAAGATTCAACACTGCAAAACACATTTTCAGATTTCAAAGCTACAAACGAAGTTGGCAGTTTATTATTGTAGAGGGGTGATTTTGGTATTTAGTCGTCCTGTAGGGGGTATTCTCAATTGATCGCCATGACGAGGATTCATTAGTTGTGAGACTTGTGAGAATTTTCCTGACAAAGACTACACATTTGAAAATATGCAGTGCTGGGACAGACAACAATTTCATACTCATGAACTGGTTAACAATTTTCACGATATTCCATGTTAAACCTTAGTCTCAGAACACGTTTCTGCCCTATGAACACCCTGTTGAAATCTGAACCGCACCTCCAAAACATGATATTCAAGGAAGTATGTCAGAAAGCCAATGCAAAATAGATGCTTTATTAGACTTTTCTGATCTACACAGTTTTTCACAGTTTTATTGCAAAAACTCTTGCTTGAGTTTCTTGCAGACACCATCAATATGAGAGTTCCAATTCCGGATTATTTCACAATTGTTCTCAAAAATTTCACTTCATGTGACATATCTATTTCATCAATAGAGAACATTACATCTTAAATATTGTTTTTCCTGTTCTTAAATTTCATTGTCACTGATTTTGAGGTTCAAGACTAGGCGAGAACGGGGAGAAGGAAATATTAAGAGTAGATAGTTGGTTTACAGATGGATCAAAAACACCTTCCGATTCTGTTGCAGGTGTTTTTAGTCGCAGACCCAGGACAGAAATATCAACATGCCTAGGAACCTATGCGACTGTATTTCAAGCGGAAATTTACGCTATTGAATTGTGTGCGGAGAGATTGGATAAATCCAACCTCATACATAAGTCAATGAAAATATTCTCGAACAGTCAAGCGGCGTTGGAAGTACTTGACTCCTACCGAGCAGCGTCTAAACTGGTAGCAAATTGCCAAATACGACTCTCCTTGACAGGAAGACTCAACAGATTGTCTCTGGTCTGGTTTCCTAGCCATACTGACCTGGAAGGCAATTAGGCTGCTAACTCCTCTTCAAAGGAGGATGCTGCAAGCAGCTTCATCGGACCAGAACCTGTCATTGGCATCGCTTTAGGCTTTGCCAAACAAAGATTGAACACCTGGATGGCAAGAAGTTTTATGGACTTCTGGCAGAATCTCCCAGGATTGGCTCACTCCAAGGCGTTTTCACTCTTCGAAGCTCGATACCAAACAGTTGTTAGACTACAGTAGGGATGAACTACGATGTCTAAAATGTCTTCTGACAGGTCATTGACATTTGAATAATCATATGCAGAGACTCGGACTGTCGGAAGACAGTGTATGTCGCCTCTGTTTGGAATATGATGAAACAGCAGAGCACATACTTCGTGCCTGCCCTGCTGGGGAATGAATCAGGTTTTTAGAGTTCAGCAGAGCCGTACTCTTACTATCTGACCTAAAAGACCACTCACCATACAAACTAATCGGCTTCGTTGAGAATCTAAGTTTATTTGGTCGAGTGTGAATAGGTGTGAGCCACAATAAACCCTTGCGGGTTGCGGTGGAGGGTCGAATAGACCATTCTATGTTTTTCACCACTTTTATTTCTAACTAACGTTACTGCAGTTTCATCGTATAAGGACATTTTCAAACTGGTACAATAAACTGGAAATGATTGATTGCATTAGCCCTTATATAACACCACTGTAGGTAATAACAGACGGACCTAACTTAATTGAGTACCTGAATTTTGTTCACCTGTTACAATGTGGATACGCTAATTTGAAAACCAGTGAGTAAACCAGATCGATTTGTACATTTAACAGGTTGCACCCGCAATGTTCATGCTTGTGAATTTCCAAGGATTCTAAATAATTGAGTTTGCAACCCTTCCTTGCATAGTGCAAAATTTCTGTATCGTTTAGATTCGGGAACTTGTGGTAGCATCCCAAGGAACAGGATGCAACCATAAACAATATTACACTCCAGACACTTAAGCTTATAAACTGCAGATTTCTCCAACTTGTCCTCCTTATCTTTGGCATTGAAAAGGAAATCAGATAACCTGGCATGTGGTCTGAATGCCACTTCCACATTGTTTTTTCTGAATTCTATAATTTGAAACCTTTGGATATAGAAACCGTCGTAATAGTATGCCATCAACACTTGAGGAATATGTCGTTTGAGATTTCACCTGCGTTGTCAAAAAATGATGCGGCTTTCTTTATTTTCCAGTGCGTTAGCTTCAGATGACCAAAAAATGTAAACAAAGAATATTTTGAAAAATATCAAGATGTGTTTCCATTTCCATTGAAATATACTTTTTTTATTGAAAGGATTATATTTTTAGAAGTGATTAATTTTTGGGAAAGAAAGTTTTTGGCTTTCTACTACTCGATCTTGATATAAAAAAGAGAATCTTCCATAGAAAGAAATGTAGCAATCAATTCCAAAAGAAGTAACTTTCTTTGGAAGGTTCCCAAATTTTTTTGTATCAAAGTGGCAGTTCTGGGATGAGAGTGTCTCACTTCTAAGAGTGATCAATATGAGAAGTGGCAGATTTGAAATGTACAGTCACAGGAGAATCTATGTCAGTTATGTGAAGGTGTATTTTTATCAAAAGGGTGTCAATGATATCCGCTTAACTAACGATCTATCATGGTAATCATGAGACAGTGTTAGGAGAAAGGTACTACTTTTTTCAAATAATCATATTCGTCAGGAATTTGAATGTAGCTATTTTGTATGCTGTTCTCAGACATCAGAAGTGGCGATTCTGGAAAGATGTTGTTTTTTCAAGTGACTTTTCTGAAGAGTGGTCAATGTTAAAAGTGGCAAAAGTAAAATGAATGATCAGAAAGAGGTCCATGTCATTTGTGAGGGGTGACTGTTTTGAAAGAGTCGGTGATTATCAGCCATACTATATGTCAAGATTTCTATAGGTGACTTTTTAAGTGACTTTTTTGTAGAGTGGTCAATATTGAAAGTGGTAGAAGTGAAATTTATAGTTGGAAGAAGGTCCATTTCATTTGTAGGTAGTGACTTATGGTGACTTTTTGGGAGGTGACTGTTTCAAAAAAGTCAGTGAGATATCAGCCATACTAAATGTCATGGTGATCATGAAACGATAATGGGTGTAATGAAACTGGCTCCTGTTGAAGGTGATTGACATTAGAAATGATATTCCTGACTTCTTTGAAGAGTAAAACTGTTGTAGAAAAGTTAGAATTTTGTTCGTTGAAAGTATTATTAGAGTGTTGGGAGTGTTTGGGGTATCCTAATTCTTATTTGTGTGTGCGAGAGTTTATGTTTATGTTACACTTCGGATGGTCACAGGTTATTGTGTTTGGTGACGTTACCGAAATCAGAATTATTTCCAGGCTGGTGGTATCTATTGAAGAATGGTCAAAATAAAACAATTTCAATATTCATCATTCTTTATTATCGTACGTATGTCATAGGGTTTCCCAAACAAAATATATAAAACAGAATTCACAAAATGGCCCCACATCGAAACAGCAGATTTTACTTTCGCCCCGATGTCTTCTATGAGAGGAAAAGGGGAGTACCTTCGAGATCGTTTGTTTTCCGTAGGTTCTTTCTCATCTTCTTTGCTCGTTCTAGTGAAAGTATACATGTAACAAGATGGCGTTTTACTTATGGTATGTATTTTATGGAAAATTCCTACTTCGACGGAGGTGCTTTGTCCCCTGCTCAATTTCACTCCTACAGATTGAAGACTGTTTTTAATTTCAACCTCGTAGACAACTTCTCCTTCCATGATAGTTAGAGTTACGTTATCGAAGTCTTCATTGATGAAATTCTCAAGGAACAGGCCTACGAAAAAATATACAGAAAATGGGATAATCCCACCTTGAATATTTCGAAAACGGACAGAAATATGAAAAAAATTCTATAATCCCCCGACAACAGGGAGGCCGTTGACATTTGAGTTTGGAGTGTCTACATGACAGAATGGTACTGTATATAGCCTGAAAAGTTGTCATGAATTCGGATCCCCTTCTCTGCATGATCCGTGAGCATGAGGGAGCAGGAATTGGAGCATTTCTCTTCAGGGCAGCTGCCCGAGCAGCTGATGAACTCGGTTTAGTTTTCGACAGTGAACGAGGTGATCACAACTCTGTCATGGAGTTGGATCCCGTTCAGCAAAAGGCTCATATAAAAGCCACAGAGATCATTCTACTTCTGCGGCAATACAAGAGTATTCATGAAAGTCGCCAGAATCAAGGGTTGTGAAAGTTTTGCATGTTGGATATGTTTTATGTATATCATGAATGTTGAGAGTAGAGAATATTGGGGGCATGAAAAGTCTTATAAGTGTTCAGAGAATTATAAGGTTTGAGCGTCGGGATGTTAGTGTGCATTGATCAATTCGAGTTTTTAAAGTGTTGAAGTGATACCAGTTTTATGGGTGTTGTACTTCTTCTTTCTCGAAACATTTTGATGCTGCTACATACCTACCTGGAAAATCCGCTATGAACAATACGTCACTATCGTTGGACCAGGAATGAACCTCTTTGCTGATTTCGTCCATTTTCTTCCTGAAATCGCTGTACTGCCACAACACAGGCAGAAGCCATTCTACCGGCTGAAATGGTGACCAGTTGGCTTTCAGCAAGTCGTAGTTTGGATCGAACATTCGTTGCTGAAAGCGTTTGTTCAAAGAGCACCAAACGTCGAGATAAATGGAGATGTTGTCAGATGTGAATTTCGAAGATATTGCAGTAGAATGCCCCAGATGGGATTTTCCTGGAAAACGAAAAGTTTAATAACAGATATTTCCACTACGAGTTTAATCACCACGCTGTCATCAAAAAAGAGATAGTCAGTTCAAATTCAAATTCAAATATGTTTATTGGCTGAAGAATAAATTCTTATTGACAAAGCCTTGTGCGAAATATAAATAACATATACAGGAAATCACAAAAGTATCACAAAAGTAAAATCACCAAAAGTAAGTGATGACATAAACTGAAAAGAGACATGTAAATAATAACAAACGTTCAGGATATAAGAACATGGTCAAAAAAATTAAATAAATCAATTTGAACTAAATTGAATCATAAAAATGCCGTAGATATTACAGTCATTCTTCTCAATTAAAATTATCATCGTAGAATTTTGCTAAGCTATAATAAGATCTCATAGAAAGCAAGTCTTTCAACTCTTTCTTGAGAGCTCTAAGGTCATTTATGGTTCTTATAGCTTGAGGAAGGTGATTAAACATTTTGAGACCCTTGTAAATAATGGAATCTTTAACTAGGGTCGAAGAAGGCAGCGGTAATTTAAAGCTTAATCTTTGCCTGGTTTGATACATTGGCTCGTCCAAGTTGTTAAACAATACCCTATGTTTGAAGAGAAGGCAGATTGTCTCATATATAAATAAGGAGACCACAGTTAGGATTCTGTTAGAGGCAAAAAGAGGCCGACAAGAGTCTCTAGGCTTGGCTTTGCATATGCATCGTATTGCACGTTTTTTTATCAGTAATACTGATTAAAGGCATGTGGTAGAACACACACCCCAAAAGCAAATACAATAACGAAGATGGGATTCAAAAAAGGAATGATAAACCATTCTAGCTTCTGCAGATCCGAGCTCAAATTCAGTTACTCGTATTGCATAACATCCAGAGGAGAGCTTCGATTTTAAAGTATCTACATGCTTGTTGAATTTTAAATTATTGTCAATGAACAAGCCAAGGAATTTAGATGTTGGTACGTTGTCAATTTGAATATTATTTAGATGTACGGCCGGAATCTGGCAACGATAGGACACTACACTTCAAGCTCAAGAGATTTGAGTCAAACCAGTCTTTCACTTTCGTGATGTCATTCTCAATAACTTCATATAACGTATAGTTGTTAGGAGCATGCCATAAAAGTGTAGTATCATCAGCAAATCAAGTAAATTTTCCTTGGATGTTTATAGACGATAGGTCATTAATGTAAATTAAGAATAAAAGTGGGTTTAGTACCGAACCTTGTGGGACTCCGCAAGTAATTTTACCTTCATTTGAGTAAGAAGTGATTTTGACCATCCGGGTGCGATCTGCTAAGTATGACTCAAACCACTAAAGACTTATTCCAGTTATACCGTATCTACCGAGTTTCCATAAAAAAAATTATGATTCACGCAATCAAATGCTTTGGCTATATCACAGAAGACCGCAGCCACTGTGTCTTTGTCATTTATGTTGGAATAAACATTGTAAAGAAATGAAAATATGGCATCGGAAGTGTTTTTATGCTTTTGGAAACCAAACTGGCAATCACTTATTATTTTGTTTTCGTTCAGGAAGCAAAGGAGTCTTGCTTTGACTAATTGCTCTATCAATTTAGCCATTGCAGAGATTAGAGAAATTGGACGAAGACTTGATAGACCATTGATGACTTCTCCCTTTGGCAGTGCTAACATAATCGACTTCTTCAAAAAAACTGAAACGATTCCTTCTCTAAATGAATTATTTATTAGACCAACTAATATATCGAGTATTCTTATCGGAATATTTTTATAGAGATTTCATCTGAGCCTGTGGAGTGTTTATTTTTAATGGAAAATAATGTTTCATGCAGTTCGGTAATATTTGTATCATATAATATAAAGGTGTTCGTAACTTCAATATTTACATAGTCTAAGGAATGAACCTGAACTGAATTTTCAAAAAATATCCAGTTTATGTATTCATGTAGACTATCGCATATGACATCTGGACATTTCATGCTTTCGACGTATCATCACAATTTGAGGAGAATCTTTCATAGTGAATTTCCGGTTTTGAGAACGGAAAAAGATTGTTTATCAAAACTTCGACACCTGAAGAAATCTAGGGTGTGTGCTAAATTTCAATAACATATACTTAATGATGTTGTGATGAGCACAAATTTTTTTCTACACCCTGCAGCTTAAAAGTTAGGAGGTTAAGGACTCACAGGCTCTTTTGAACTTCTCTCCACAAAATCACTCAAGCATTCACACCCTTTGAGGCAGCACTTACCCTAAAACACCCTGTATATGCTTGAGATTGATCCAAAAAAGGTAATTAGAAATTACACCCAAATACCTTATTTCAAGAAGATTCAAGGGGTTAGTATAAAAACCCTTTCTCTATATTTTTACACACCTTCGAATCCAGCAATGAGGTTTTTCTTCAAGCACTGCGCATACTGGACGCCCATGTCAGCATGTTTGCTCCACCTGTCATTATGGGTCCAAGCACCAGCGTCGATGAAATGCTCTCTATCAGTATCATTATCTATCACTTTCACCACCACCAATATGGTGTCCCATGAGTGAACCATCATATCCCAAGAATAGCCATATAAGCCGTTAGTCCAGTTGTTATAGCCCTATGAAAATGAAATAATAGGTTTTTGCAGCTGAACAAGTGAGTATGAAAGTGTATTTCACAAGAACGACATTTCTGGGATTGATAGAAAACTCAATCCTCGTTCATTCAAGACGAACAAAGCACTGATCTAGCATCGGTGTCGACTCCTCGAATAGAAAATCGATTTCACCAAGGCACCTAATATTCTTCATCGATATTTACTATTTTGCTGCGCCACGTTATAATATTACTTTTGTATATCATTTGCTTACCTCAGGATTGATATATTGCATGATTACATTGCATTTACAAACAAAATCGAATTACTTATGCCTTGTTAATCAAAAAATATACCTCTTTCAATTTAAACAAGATTCATATGGCTGAGATTGAATCAAACGAGCGAATGAATGATTACGTACATGAGTAGATTTAACTCATTCCTGAAGTTAAGTCGTAATTTCATAAATGAACTGAGTGCTTTATTTCATAATGTTATTCAAATTGGTACTGAGAAGAGAAGAGGCAATACGGCAAGTGTCTCATTCCGAAACATCGAATGTCCAGCAGTGAAGATGACAGTGTTCCATGTGAGTGAAATGTTATGGCTTGAGCGAAGCTATCTGGCTAACAGATACAAGCTTGTCTGGCTATCAGTGGTGCCATCAGTACCACACCGTCAGCGGCCATGGAGATCCTTCTGGATCTACCTTCCACATTTTTCTGGACAAAGAGGCTAGATGGACTGCATAAAGACTTGTGCACTTTGCCAATTGCACAAATCAATTTAGTGCAGAGTGCAACAGACTGCTGGTTGACACTGGAAGTCTCAGCATTCTGGAAATGACCTCTGACTTTATGCCTCCAACTATCAACTACGAACTGCCTTATAAAGTACTATTCCCGAGTAGAGAGGACTGAATCCTCCGGGAGAAAGAAATATCAATAGCAGATAGTTGTTGGTTCACAGATGGATCAAAAACACCTTCCGGTTCTGGTGCAGGTGTTTTTAGTCGCAGACCCAGAACAGAGATATCAATCTGCCTAGGAACCTAGGCGGCTGTATTTCAAGCGGAAATTTACGTTATTGAATTTTGTGTGGAGAGATTGGATAAATCCAACCTCACACACAAGTCAATAAAAATATTCTCGGATAGCCAAGCAGCGTTGGTAGCTCTTGGCTTCTACAAAAGATAGAAAAGTGGAAAGGCAACCATCAGAAGATATTTTGAAGCCTGTTTTTGAACTTATTTGAAGAGGATGAATGATCACTACAGTGACTTTAAATATACTGAGTTTGTGGTTCCGCAAGGAACAAGTTCTGATCCAGTTATCGCAAGTGATCCAACTGAAACTTTATGCAGTGTAACCTAAATATTACATTGCCGATAACTCTGTATTTCTAAAATAATTCTCAAATATAGACTAGAAATAAAAATCACTCGCTTGCTTACTAATGAAGCCTACTAATGAAAAACTACATCTCTCTGGGTCTCATGTCTCGCAATGTGATTCCCAACGGACTGAAAACAGTCACTTCCATGCACTCATTACCCAAACAATTCGTTGTCTGAAAGTTTCAACTTTGTGAAAAATCAATCAGTAGGTATATTGCCCGCAAAAATAATCATTACTTCTATATCGACTGTTTTTTATATCTTTCAGGTGTTTCCAGAAAGCAAATGAATACATAAAAATATTTTTTTTTCTGATGGTCTCATACATTTTATACTTTGGTAACATTTCGCATTCACAGACTAGTCTCAAAAAAATATGTCTTGCTAGAAACAAGTTTTTTTGTTCAATGAGTGGAAAAGACGTTCCTCATTTGTTTGTTCGTTTATTTTTATTATCTGAACTAGCGAAACGCCCCGGCTCCGCACGGGTGCACTACTTAGTATAAAACAAAGTCGCTTTCCGCTGTCATACCCTATGTATGCTTGGATCTTCAAAACTACGCAATGGATTTTGATGCTAAGAGTGCGCTCACATTCAAACGCTGGCTGACCACTACGAGATGGGTCAAAAAATGTACTACAGTACTGTATACCATAAAAAAGTCTACAAAAAAGTTCGCGATGGTATATGTCTATCTCTTAGGGATCACCCACAATAACCATTTTTATCCTTGAGAGGTTTCTAATGTGATGTCGTGAATTAACCCATTTTTTTGCTCACATTGCAAACGCTAACTGAACCCTACGAGATAGGTCAAAAAATGTATTACAGACCTTAAAAAGGTCTACAAAAAAGTCCGGGATGGTATCCGTCTATCTCAATAACCATTTTTTATCCTCGGGAAATATTGGCGTAGTTACGAAGCGATTCTAAGCAATACGGCAATAATCCTTATCCACTTAAGTACCTTGAATACATTGTGCATTTGATGTAGATCAATATCGCCCTTCACAGCATGTAATTTAAATTGATATTTTCGAAGATATTACAGATTTAAAATGCAGGGACATAGTGGTTGCGGTAGTACCGGCCGGGGACCTGGGTCTGCGTGCTTGTAAATGCCGCGTCGATGGCCGCGCTTCGCCCTATAACACTTCAGCGATGAGCAGCAATCGCACGCGTTTATATGTATACCAGTGAGCCACCCCGGCCCCGCACGGGTGCAATGCTGATCTGATATATAAAAATGGATGTTTGTTGGTTGGTTTGTTGGTTGGTTGGTAAGTGATAAACTTCTACATCGCTCAACCGATCGTGATGAAACAGCAGCGATACAGCAACATAGTACTAATTGGTACTACAACTACCAAATTCGACGTGGAAGGCCCGACCATGTCTCCCATTTTTTGAGTAGTTTGAGAACGGTGTAGAAATATAATTATGTAACGCTAAAACACTTATTAGCACTATTATTTTCACCAATTGTTATCACAACACGTCCATTGCTGACTAACTTAACTGTAAAACGTACAATTCACGCTGTATAATTCACAAACCAATGATACGCTCATGGCTGCAAGTACATTAGTGAGGACTGCAACGATGAGATGGAAGTTACGGTAAAGTGACAAAGACAGAAATATCGTTACGTACAGCGTTGCCACTAGTTGTAATAAATATCTAACACTATACAGAAAATAATGAATTTCAACTGATCAGTAATCAGGAAATGTATAAGTATTACTCATTACAAGCTCATTACTGATTTTTGTCATAAATAATACCTTTTAATCGTACTAGTATTGTGTATTATCTATAATTTGCCACAACCTACAACTCTACTGCTTACTATATTTTGATTCTGCTATAAACTGGTAACGTAAAATTTAGATATGACAACGTGCTTTACTCTCAATCATTATTGGTTTTACTATAATAGCCTGAGAGTATTCTTCATTTTTGAATGACAAATATAATTATCATCAGCATAATAGTGCTGCAGCCATGATAGGAAAGGCTTGAGAAAATTGCAAGTATATAGACTGACGAGTTGGGGCCCCAATACTGACACTTGTGTTTACCTTTATCAATTTTTAAAATTCAGAAACTTTTCCACATTCTACAAAAATGGTATCGAAATGAAAGAGCGGCAGTGGAATGATTGTGTGACTCTCCATGGAGATTACTTGATAGAAAAAGCCAATTTTGAACAAACAAAAAAAACGCGTTTTCTTACTCAGGACCGGGACTACTCAACCCATGTGTTATGTAGTGATGAGTGAAAAATATTACAAGTTTGCCAATTTAACGAAGTCGTATTGTCAATAAATCATAGTTACAAATGGTGGGCACTTAATTTGGATCAGACTGGATACATAAATATTACTCATCTGTTGCAATCTAAAATGCCCTTTCTAACGCACATCCCTATTATACGGGTCCAGTTAACCCCGATATCTCAGCGAATTCAATTGCACCAGCAGCAGTCCGGTACAATTACCCTCAAGCTGCCCTAACATAAAGCGATGTAATTCGCAACCCGATTAACTACTGACCTTTGTGATGAAATGAGAGTACGGCAAAAAGGCTTGCAGTCCACAATGGCACATTAAAAGTGTCGCCACGAATTTGTGTTTCCAGCTAGGTTTCCGCACAAGATCCCGGTCTATTCTCGTTTCGTCTTTGGGGTATATACACGAATCTGATGGAGCCGCTTCCAAGTTGTCCGTAGTGAAAAGGGATTGAATTTTTCTCGGCCAGGTTTCATCGCAGAATAGCGGCATAGTTGCTAGGCAGACGTAAGGAAACATACCTAAAAATCGGCATTGAATATAGCATTGTCGATGCAAGGTGATGAAGATGAATATAGTTGAAAAGATGAAATCTCTCCCAGCATGTATTCCATCGATTTTGAAAATTAAAATTTCAACAATCAGTGTTATTATACAGAGTGTAACTGAATAAGTGTAAAACATTTAAGGAGGTGATTCCTCATCGAAAAACAGATAGGATCTTTCATATAAAGAAATTTTATTGGAGCATCCCTTGTTAAGATACAGCCCCTTAAAGGGGGTACATAAAATTTGTATAACAATTTTTTCACAAGCACTGAAAAAGTTACAATATTGAAATTAACCTGATGTTTTGTACTACCAAAAAAACACTTATCCAGAAATTTATTTGGTTTACCCCATAGTTGTAAGGGGTGGAAAACGCAACCCCTAAAACTTATTTACAATGTAACTTTTTGTCTTATTATTTGTTTACCATTTAAAAATTTATTTCCGATAGCCTGTTTTATTCTTAACAAAAAATGTCTCTTGGTCAATGTCAACCAACAGACTGTTGGTTGACATTGGAAGTCACAGCATTCTGGAAATGACCTCTGACTTTATGCCTCGAACTGTCAACTACGAACTGCCTCATAAAGTACTATTCCCAAGTAGAGAGGACTGGATCCTGCGGGAGAAGGAAATATTAAGAGCAGATAGTTGTTGATTCACAGATGGATCAAAAACAGCTTCTACCTGCCTAGGAACTTATGCGACTGTATTTCAAGCGGAAATTCACGCTATTGAATTGTGTGCGGAGAGATTGGATAAATCCAACCCCACTCACAAGTCAATGAAAATATTCTCGGACAGTCAAGAGCCGTTGGAAGCTCTTGGCTCCCACCGAGCAACGTCTAAATTGGTAGCAAACTGCCAAAAAAGACTCTCCTCGATAGGAAGATTGAACAGATTGTTTCTGGACTGGATTCCTGGCCTGGAAGGCAATGAAGCCGCTGACTCTCTTGCAAAGGAGGGTGCTGCAAATGGCTTCATTGGACCAGAACCTGTCATTGGCATCGCTTTGGGCTTTGCCAAACAAACACTTATCACCTGGATGGCAAGAAGAGTTATGGACTTCTTGCAGGATTGACTCACTCCAAGGCGTTCATTCACCCTTCGAAGCTAGATTCCAAACAGTTGTTGGACTACAGTAGGGATGAACTACGATGTCTAACAGGCCTTCTTACAGGTCACTGTCATTTGAATCATCACATGCAGAGACTTGGACTGTCGAAAGACAGTGTGTGTCGCCTCTGTCTGGAAAATGATGAAACTGCAGAGCATATACTCTGTGCCTGCCCCGCTGGGGACCGAATCAAGTTCTTTGAGTTCGGCAGATCCGTACTCTCACCATCTGACCTGAAAGACCACTCAACATACAAACTAATCGGATTCGTTAAGAAGCTGTGTTTATTTGGCCGAGTGTGAATAGGTGTGTGCCACAATGAACCCTTATGGGTTACGGTGGAGGGTCGAACAGACCCACTCACTTCAGACCTACCTACCTACCCCGCAGAAGAGTTCTGGGTCAATCATGGCCTTGGATGGGCCTTCACGGGCTAGAATATCGACCTCCTCGTTGCCTTATGATCCTCATGTTTGGGTACCGAAGCTAAAGTGGCCCTATTTTGGGTACTTAGCTCCTTAAGTGCGCTCAGACAGCTTCCCACGAGTCTTGAGAAGACTCAAAATGAGTTGAGAGTTTTAATTGCCGCTTGGCTGCCGGAGAAAATGGCAATGTTGCTAAGAATGTTACCTGAATTATCAATACGACATCTGAGATACCAGAACGGTCATAAAATATCAAAATTACTGACTACTGATACAAAAACACTATTTGTGATTGCTCCAGATATCAATGGATCCTAAACTAGTTGTCAAAATTCACAAATTCAAAAGGGGAGACCTGCATAGTTACTGTTGAGGGTAAGCAACGATCACATTGCTCTATTCATCCTCACAGCAGAAATTACATTAATGTTTTGAGACTCCAGTTCAACTTCAATGGAGGTACCCGGTGGAATACATAATCTTGAATAGTAGCTCTGAGTTCTATCAAGCCCTTGTACCTTTCCAAACGCGATTACGTGGGTACCCTCTGTGTGTGCGAATTCTTCCACAACTGATTTGTCGGTATGGCGTAGGCGACAAATCCTTTTTCATTCAGAAACTCAGGTTGTTACACTCTCCCTCGTGATTTCAATATACACCGATCCACAGGGATCCAATTAACTCCCGATGCTGCTAAAGATCCTCTGGGGACCTTTCGTTAAAGAAATAGTGTCTTGAATGTAAAGACCAATTCCACATCTAGCAATAATTTTTTTGTAAGGGGGTATACATTCAATTAAGACTATGACGTGCTACTTTCCGAAAATTATTTTGGAATGATCGGAAATCAATAGCTTCGGGAATTCGGAACATGTACTGAATGACCAAATAGAATTGAAGAATTCCCCTTTATTAAATATGGTTTTCAATGTTGAAATTAGCGATTAGAGGATACGTGAACACAGGTAATTTTCAGGTAATTTATACTTGTATTAAAATGAGTTTGTTGGTGAAATATATTTCCTAATGTTTCTAATCATTATATACCTTAACTCAGGTAGAATTATCAGCAATTGGATAGGTAGAACTAAAGCAATAATTAGGAAGAAATAACTAAATATGAACATGCTTGGAAAACCCAGTATATAGTAAAACACGTGTTGCCATTTTGTAAACTGTCCGTTGGAAAACTCACATTAGAGTGTTACTGGGATACGTTATAGATTTTCAATGTAGTTTCCAATCATTTTCCTATATATTTTTTTGAAAATCGTGTTTCACCAGATTCCTCAATAGAAACGTTTATTAATTCATAAATTAACGAGATATATTATTGGAGAGTTTTATTAATACAGTAGAATCCAAAAAGATGGTTTTTATAATTTATGTCTGTTGTGTCTGTGTTATTAAACAATCTCTCATATATTAAAGACCGAGAACTTCTGCAGCTATAAAATTCCGAAAAAACAAATCCAACATAATACCTATGCATACCTATGCTGAAGAGCCGTGAGTTCATCAAATGGAAACAGGCGCAAAACAACATTGCCACTGGCCTCGTGAATTCAACCAACATCCAAAATCCTATCGTCAAATCCAGTAAGAACCCGAACCAGTGAATGATGATGTAATCAATTTGTCCGGAGGTGAGTAGTAATCTGAAAAACGCTATGATAAATTTAGTTTTTCTTGTAGAAGCTTAACTTATATAATGACAATCAATTACTGTTTTTGAAAGAGCTGCAATGACTGAAAGTTTTTGAAAAACTGATTTTCTTGTGAATCAAGGCAAAAATAAAGGCTTTCGCTGCCGAGGTTTTCAGTATAACTATTTTCTATGGGTGTGAAGGCCGTAGATTTTTGAAATTTTTTCCTGACGTTGCGCTGGCGCGAGTGGCTAGCTTCCTCAGAGATTTTTACATCCTGAGTTGATTTATGATGCACTGTTTGGAACCTTTGGTGTAGTAATGAATATTACTGGAGTTTTTTCCCAACACCAAATCGTTATATTTAACACCTCGACACGTGTTTCGATCACCAAGTGATCATCTTCAAAGAAACTCGCTTCATCATAACATCTAGTCAAACAAGAGTCCAAACAGGGTGGGTCACTTTCAGAAGGGGTTTATTTCAGGGTGATTCCCTCAGTCCCCTTCTCTTGTGCATCTCACTATTGCCATTATCCGTTGCGCTCAAAAATACTCGAGGGTATAATTGAGGCACCCTCGGAAACCGGAGGCACAAGGTCACCCATTTGCTTTATTTGCTTTATGCCTCTGGAGGTAAGGATCTCCATCAGTCCTTGAGGATGGTGGAAGAGTACAGGCATGCTATCGGTATGAAATTTGGGATAGACAAATGTGCAATGGTCCATCTCAAAACAGGACGATGCGGGGACTACGAAGAGGATGTGCAGCTCGTAGATGGAAGCATCCTACACCATTTGGTCCGTGACCATGAGAGAGCAGGAATTGGAGCATTTCTCTTTTGGGCAGCTGCCCGAGCAGCTGATGAACTCGGTATAGTTTTCGACATTGAGCGAGGTGACCACAACTCTATCACCGAACCGAGTCACAGATAAAAGCCGCAGAGATCACCTCATTTCTGCGGAAACACAAGGATGAACCAATGCATAGGGGTCTTCTTCAATAACATTGGAGATCTTGGAGATCAGCATGTCCAGCATATGCGGTCTTGGCCTATATCCATCAACATAACGTGGCCCTAAGAGTGCTATATTATTATCTACGGCACTCTTTCGGAATTGACGAGACACCGGTGTTGCCGTACGCTCCGGGGGATATTGAATCCGTTGTGGGGAACGAGAGGTGCCGGATTTATTGAAACTATTCGTTCCTCACCCTCAGGCTCATACAAGCTAATAAGCCTGATGTAGTCCTTCTCGACCACCAGAGCAGGACGATATTTGTCTTGAACTTTTAGCTCCTGGCAAGACGAATATCGTCCGAAAAAAGGAGGAAAAACGAATAAAATATCGAGATTTTCTCTTCGAACTCCGCAGACTCTATCCAGGTCACTCTGTCAAGATGTTTGTTCTGATTATTGGATTCCTTGGTGGAATGATGCTCTCTCCACTCTCGAATCTTAAAATCATACCGGCTTGCCGCAGACTCAAACTCCACAGTTTGAGTAGAGCCTTGATGATGACAGCACGACCAGCTGTCGAAAGCACGCGCATATAATTAAATAGGAGAAAAAATCTGTGAACAAAAATATTACAGGGCATAAAATTGAACCTTGTGGTGAATCTATAAACGAGAATAACTTTTTTCGAGATCAATTGCCCTAACACCAAACTGATATTTTTGCACTCGACGCGCGTTTCGCCAACAAAGTTAGCATCCTCAGGAAAAGAAGATTGATCAATCTCCTAACACCAAACTGATATTTTTGCACTCGACGCGCGTTTCGCCAACAAAGTTAGCATCCTCAGGAGAAGAAAATTGATACCTAGTCTAGTCTGGTTAATCCTTATATAATGAAATTTGTTACCTGAAGTTGTATACCTGAAGTCCAATATGAAATTTCTTGGTAATTAACTACCTGCAAGTTCTTAGTGATTATTCTCTTCCTAACAGAAGATTAAAAAGCGGGCTAAACGGGATGGGTCCCTTATTACCATTCATGCTCTTCTTACATTTTGCTATTTTTAGACTCTCACATGCATCGAGTAGCCTGGTGACATGCACATGCTTAATCAGTTTCAGATTGTTTTCACCAATTATGTGGTCCTTGTCTAGAGCATGTTGGGCGACACTGGATTTTTCTATCCTTCCGTATTTCATGTGTGCACAATGCTCCTTAAAGCGGATTTTAATCGCTCGTCGGCTCTGGCCGATGTATTTGCTGTTGCAATCTTGACAACTGATTTCGTAAATCCCCGACCTTTCTGTGTTTTATAGTCCATCTTTTGAATTACCAAGAAGCTGTTGCAATTTATAACAAGTTTTATATGCAACTTCCATATTTACTTTATCGAATATCTGTTGAAGCCCTCTCGTGTATTGGGGTTCATATGGGATTACTATAAACTTGTTATTACCTAATTATCTTGTCAACTATATCTGGGTTAAAACCGTTTGCTTCAGCTACATACCGAATCACTCTCTATTCATTGTCGTACTTATCTTTCTTTAAAGGAAAAGTTATCAACCTGTGTACCAGAAATTGCAGTGCCGCCATTTTGTGTTGTGGACAATGATTCGAGTCATTGGGAATGTATCTGAAAGTGCCCGTGTCTTTCCTGTAAATGTCAAATTCATAATGAGCCATTATATTGAAAATTATAATGGCTCATATTATAACAGCGTGAAGGAAAGGCTATGGGTAACCCATTGTCTCCATTTATAGCGAACCTATTCATGGGTAGGTTTGAGACGGAAGCTGGGAAAGAACTCAGTTACTTCCCTGTGGTCTGGATCAGGTATGTTGTTGACATATTCGCTGTAGTGGATACAAGGATAACCAGAATTGAGAATATCCTTTCAGCATTAAACAACAGGTGTTGTTCACATATGAAGTAGAAAAAGAACGAAAGTTGCCGTTTTTAGATGTATTGGTCATAAGGAACGAACAGAACGAAATAGAATTTGACATTTACACCCACACAGCACTAGATATTCATGGAATATTCCCTGTATATCATAAAACGAACGTATATATTCCAAATATTCATAGAATATTCTTGGAATATATACATGCCTTTAGAATATTCATAGAATATGCTTGAATGAATTTGGCAGGATTATTCCCGAAAGAATGTGCATAGAATGTCTATAAATGGATTATTCTCCCTTGAATATTCTAAGAATATTGTCGATCGAATATACCATATGGTATATTCTTAGAATATATCCCCACGGTATATTTTGGTATATTCTATACAATGGAATTTTGAATTATCTTATAATAACGTATTCAAATAATTCAATATTATTAAAAACAAAAATATTTGAAGATCTCAATCGAATGCATAACCTAATGTATATAACCCTGATAGTCTTAACCAGTTTTTGAACTCAACGCGAACATTCTGGATGAATTGCTCCAACAGCAACTGTTGGAAACGACAAAAAAATGTGAATGGGCCAATAAATGAACCAATTGCATCAATAAATTGGTTAATTCTCATCCCATTTGTCTTTTTGTATTTGAAATTATTTAATTACAAAGCGAAAAATCCTGGAAAAAGAGAAATGGGTAAGTGAAGAATTGGAGTAAACGTTTGTCATTGGTCAATTGAAGTGTAGCGCGCAACACAATCTTGAGGGTTTCCCCATCTGATATCTATAATAGAACCGCCTCTTTCTTCCGATAAATCTAGTAGCATCAGGAAACCTGAAATATACTGTGATGTAAAAAATATTTTATGAATTCAAATTATACCATGTGTGTGAATAATACTAATTATTATACAGTGCCTGACGTAAATAGTCCTTCCCCTCATAACTTTCAAACGGGGCAAGACAAAATTGTTGTAAGAACCCTACCGGCAGTGGCGCAAACATCCCAGTGTCGAAAACTAAACTAGGTTTGGTAATGCTCGCAACAGCTGCAAACTAACAATAAATGGAAGCAAAGAACTTCACAATCGTAGAATTAGGGATAAACCATTCACCAATCCCAACGGGTCTAGATCCTTCTGGTCGGTAGCTGAAGCTGTTAATCAAAACTTCACAAAATTCACAATTTCACCACTAACACAAGCAGATGATTCAATTGCAACAACAGCCATAGAACAGCAAATCTCCTAGCTGAACAATTTGCGTTCCACTCCACAATAGATTTTCTGGGAAAGGCACCACCCTTTATTCCCACACTAGAAGCAACAATGGCAACAATTACTTTTCGACAACGTCTAGTCAGCTCAAACAGCTCAATATCAATAAGGCGTCTAGTCCTGATGAAGTGCCCGTCATTGCACTTGAAAAGTGTGCGAATGAACGCGCACCAGTAATTTGCAAACTTTTCAACCTGTCTTACAAGGAAGGGGTTTTTTCTTCAAGTTGGAAGATTGCTCGCGTTGAGCCTATTCTCAAAAAGAACAAGAAAAATCTTCCAAATAACTATAGACCAGTCGCTTTACTATCAGTGATATCAAAAATCATGGAGAAAGCAGTAAACTATCATATCGTCAAATATTTGGAAGGCTTCAACATCTTGAGCGATTATCAGTATGGCTTTCAGAAACAAAGATCAACAGGCAACCTTCTAGCGTATGTCACCACTATTTGAAATAACACATTCAAAAAACATGGAGAGTCAAGAGCTGTTGCGCTTGATATTCTTAAGGACTTTGACCATCTGTGGCATGAGGGTTTGCCGACCAAACTTCGATGCTTCCCTGCAGGTGGCTGTAGATGGATATCTCTCGAATACTTTTACCATCAACGTTGATGTTCCCGAGGAATCCATATTGTCTCCAACCCTCTTTTATTGTATATCAACGACTTATTGGAAAAAACCAAGAATCCAATATATTGCCTTGCACGACAACCTACTTGTCTCGTCATTTCATTTGTATTCCAGGATATCGGCTGCAGATGAAATTCTTCACCGGCAGCAGGAGGTTGCATATCTTTATTAGGATCTAGAAGTGATTTCGAGTGGGAGTGAAAGTAACCAGGTTCAATTCAATGTCACAAACACCCAGACATGTTTCCTAACCAGATAAAATAATGTCAGTACAGACAATTTCGCTTTCTGCTTCGATAAGTTTGTTGGGGAAATTCCTTACAGGGCTAAACAAATGTAGGGTGCATGATCATCTTGTTGGAAAACAACTGCAACAATTGAGTCATCTCAGTTGTTGGCAAGATTTTCGAATATTTTTTAACGAATTTTGCATTTGAATATACATCATTCAAACATCATATTAGAGCAGTCGAAATTATTTGGCATATATAAAACATAGTTTCTACGTAATATTCAAATGAGAATAAGATTGAAAATAAATACCTTATCACGACACTCACATATTTTAAATGAAAAAACTCACCGAAAAGGCATCTTATAATACCCAAGCTTGACGGATCGGTTGGCCGATAAAAGTAAAGTACGATATCTTCAAAGGTGATGTGTCTTAGTTTCTTCCAAGTATTTTCCACCATGCGTCCAACTGAATCTCTACATTTCAACTTTTCCCCATTTTCCATATTCCTGCCTGTACACAAATAAATGATTGCACTCACGTTTCATATCAAACATCTAGACTCCACTACGATAAAATAATAAACAATCTGGGTGATAATTTGAACTTTGACTTATTGTTTAAGAGAATTAGATGCGCTGCTGTATACGAGGTGAAGTCTAGTAGTTGTTAGATTGTTGGAGGTGGAAAAATTCAAAATGTGCTGTATTTTTCCACGACAAATAACTGCCATTGTACGGACATAAAAACGTATTAATGAAATATTTTTTTCCACGTACATCGGTTGAATACTTTAATCTTCAACAGAATACACTATGTTTTTATATGTAATGGAACTGGCTGATACTTGATCAAAATCCATAACGTATTAAAGTAAGTAGACATTTTGCGAACTCATGACATTACATTAAAAAATAATTTTACAGAGGAGAACATTTCTCTTCCAAATGCAACACGTCATAGAATGTTTCCAGTATAGTGATTCCAATAGCAATGGTGAACAATGCGAAAAAAGAGATACCAGTGAAATAGAACCGAATGCATTTGAATATTGAAACACAGAGAGTATGTTTCAATGTATATGAGAATCTACAACTCAAGTTTGGTTTCGAGGGAAACAAACTATTACAAGCAACATCAGATTTGACCAAAATTCCTTTATCAACCATACGTAAAATAGTCAAAATCAATCCTTATAAACGCAAGACGCGATGTGATACGGGATTACCAAAACCTTCAGATGTTCATCTAATAAAATCATTGAATAAAACAATATACGACTGTTACAAAAGCAATGAGATTCCTACAACTAAAATCATAAGGAAAAAATTGAATACCTCCAGCCATAACGTGAGCTGCTGTGACAAACTCTTCAGAATTGGATAAACTAGGATTTACATTTAACATAATAAACAAACGTCAAGCAGTTATGGAAAGAAGAAAAATAGTGGAGTTGCGTAACAAATACTCAGAAGAAATAACTAAATGTAGACAAAACAACAGCAAATTTTCTATTTGGATGAAACTTGGTATGACACTCACGACACAATTACGAAAGAGTGGACTGATGGTTCATGAATGTGTACGCCTAAGATGCCTGCAAACAATGGATCGCGACTAATCAGTGTGCATTGCGGAGGGAATAAAGAATGGGTTCTGAATTCTTTGAAATTATGTGGGAAAAACTTGAGGATTGCAATAATGACTATCATAAGAACATAGAAGCTAATATTTTTGAGGAATGGTTTGAGAACACATTTATCCTAAATTTGGATGCCAGTAGTGTAATAGTTCTTGACAACGCTTCCTATCATTCGTGACAGCTCATCAAAGTACTGAATAAAAATTCGAGGAATGATGAAATACAAAGTTTTTCAATGGATATCAATTTGTATTTTGAAGATTACTAAACCAAAAATCAACTACTTGAAGTTTTACAGGCAAAAANTTCCTCCATATATATATATATATACATAATTCAATAATCAGAAATTATTATTGTATTACAAAATTAGTTAGCTACCTAACTATATTATCAAAGGGAAACTGTTGGAATGTAGGTTGCATTATATCGTTTACTTGAACTATACCAAAATTATTGATACGGATCTGATATACTTCAACAAGATACGAATACACTCAGAATATATACAGGGTTGCTCACTGGAAACTGTTCATTTAGAGAACACTTGGACAAATAAACCATGAAATATGACTATATAATGGACACCCGAGTTGCAAGTAAGGCAATGAAGGGATACTCCACATGCGATCACTGGAAGCAAGCAATTTATAATCAATCAAAATTACTTATGTTCAAGACAATGTGACGACTAACATGTTCTTCCTGTACAAACTAGTACAGGTTAAAAAATGTTAGGATTTGAGGAATACTCAATGACCCTGCAGTATTTTCTGGTGGGAGAAAGTTGATAATTTAGACAACTCTCAAGCAGTAGAAAGATATTGCAAAAAACTTAATGACGTTAATAACTATTCAATCTTCAAAATTTACTGATCGCAGTTGATGATAGAATGAAATTCAATGCAAATGGCAATAAAAACATGCATGTTAAGGGTTACACACCACTCACCACCCTCCTATGATAGAAAATAAACCTTCCCTTGGCGACGAGCGCAAACAAGTGGTTGTATCTTGGGTTAGTTGTATGTGCGACAATAGTCGAAGACGCTCCTTTTATCTACTAAAAGGTTTCCATAACAACCGCAAAATAAGATATTTACATCCAATCGATAGGTAGGTAATTTGTTATTGATGGTCGCAGGTCCAGATTTATAGCCATAGACATCTTCATTAGCTTCACCTTCGTCCAGTGGCAGAGTGAGTTTGAGAGTTAGTGTAATCGTATGAAAAAAATACTTGTATCTTATGGAATAAATGATTACTCGAAATATTGACTTTGAAAACAATTGAATTGAACACTATTTTCTGCCTCATTTTTCAAAAGTTGAAAAAAATTAAATGAAGCGAATTCTCAGTATCAATAGTGACAGCTGTCAAGCTACAATACTCTCTGCTAAGGTGACACTGTGTAGATTCTCATCTACATAGTCGATCACAAAAAAATCCTAATCCGAACTCAAAGCAGGAATGTGCTTTTTTGTCAAATACTTTGGTTCGAATTTATTCTAAATTCGATGATTCATTTCCGTGAACAATTCTTTTACATATTACAAACTTTGTGTAACTTGTGGAGCTGTTCCAAGTCTCTTTTCGTTGAAAAGTTAAGAATTATCATTTTTCCCTAGTCTCAAATTCATACACCAATAACTTCGCAACCGGTTATCCAAGTTCAAAACAGTAAAGGTTGTCTATAGAATTGAAATACCTTTCCACGAACGGTCACAAGACCCGTCTTTCTGTTTGAAAAAAAAAGTTAATACTTTCACGAGGACCTTCAACTGGAAACCCAACCTAAGAAAAACTCTGGACAGAGTCTGGAAAATAGCAAATCTCCTAAAAGCGCTAAGAGGCAAGCTCGGAAAATGCATCAGTAAAACTATTACACACATATGAAATGTTCATAAGACGCATCCTGGACTGTGAAGCCATGATCCCTGCACGCTTTCCCCGAGACGATCCCACCACATCCTAACAACCAAGAGAAGTATCCTACGCAATATCCATAACCTTCCCTTCCGAGTTCCCTCCCGAGATCTGTATAACAGGATTTCAGGAACCAAGGCCAATACGCCTCCAGAAATTTAAGCAGCACCAACACCGCCGCCATCAACACACTGACCACCCCTTGGAAACCTCGTGGGGGCTCCAGAAGGATTCCGAGGAAGAAACTCCCGTTTTCCCTGGGAGTCATGGAAGACCCTCCGGAGCGGATCCGGTAGTGATCAGATAGTGGACAGCACATAGCCTGGAGCACACTTGCCCTCTCCCACCTCAGGCCTACCCGAACCTGAACCGCAAATGTACCCGGACCAACCGCACAATCAAACAACACTACCCTGCACGCATCAAAAATCGTTGAAACTAACCAGTAACTTAGATTGAGATAGATTAGATTAAGATAGATGCAAACGAATGTAACGAAAAATCCATTTTAAAAACTGTAAATCTGTTTTTCCGTTAACCAGCTGTCGCACCCTTACGAACAACAACCCTCAGAAGTCGAAACTTGTGCGAGCTAAGGACTAACGAAGTCTTACCTTTCAACATGTGATTCCTAACACGGGTTGGACGATAGCAAGTGAAAATCGATCGTTCAGCCTTGGGCTTGAACCACCGACCAACACGGCGGTCGATTTGAGTGAGTGAACAAAGCACCCACGTCGAACCGACCGGCTACCGACCGGATCGGATAAACGTCTTGAATTGAAAATCGAAATAATTTACCTTTTTTTTGCATCTTAAAAATGATGGTCTTCCATATGGCCTTGAAATAAGGTTATTTAAGTTAATGTCGTCCACTTTCAAATATTATGTGTCTGCAATAATACGGATATGAAACATTCTGTTGAAAACATTTTGAATACATTGGTTGAGGTCCTTCATCCACTGAGAAAATGCACATTTTGATCAATTTGAAATATCATGGGATATGTGATATACTTATTACGTTTATTTCAAAAAATATATGTAACATCCTAAACGAATGTTTTGCAAATGACGATCATAAATACATAATTTTAAGTCGTTTCAAAAAGAATCAAAATAATTGGTCTTCCTCACCATTCTAAAATGACGTGGAATTAACATTATGTAGTTGGAATTAGGTACTCATGATTTTAGTCTCCAAATGTTTGTTAATTTTCGGTGTTATTATGCGACAATTAAACACTGTTTATTACGTTTTTGATTCATCAAGGGAATTGAACATTTTCGTTGAATAAGAAATTACTTTTTAGCACCAGCTCAAAATAATGAACGACATGAAGGAGAAGATCATGTAAACATAATTCATAACACATTTCTATGATTATCTCATTACAAACGTAATTGTTTAGAACTATTTTGATCGATTTACATGCATCTCACGGTTATCTGGGGGGGGGCTTTATTCACACAATAGAATCCAAAACAATGATTTTCAAAATGTATGTCTAGTTGTATGTGCGTTTATATGCGCTTATCTCAAAAATGACGATTTAAGTACAGTTTTGACTAATGTACAAGTTCCACTCAACACTCAGTATTTGATTTATTTCAATCGATTCATGACTGAAAAAAAGTAAAAATCACGTCAAACATTTTTTGGAAAAAATATAAAATTGTTATCAGTCGATTTGGCTGAAATTTTGGTTGACATAATTGAAAGTTTGTGAAACGATTTTTTCATAAATCAAAAATGGCCAAACACATGAGGAAATTGAAGTCCACGATTGAAGCCGCGTGCGACAGTTAGTTTTAGATCGTAAATGGAACATTTACACAAATTTAGGGTGACGTTAGTGAAGATGAAATTTTGGAGGATCAGGTAATACTAGAAAACTACAATATTTTTGACATAAAATCTATGCCAATAACTGTCGAAGATGGGATTCCTGTTTTACCAGATATCGAAAATGATTCGGATAATTGGAGCAGTG